GTGCATCTTTGATAGGTTACACTTGCCATTGATTTCATGAATTTCTTGAAGGAATGTAGCAATTTTGGTTGTAGCATTCCATGGTCACATATTTATATTGTTTCCCCAATTTAGCTCTAATCTAGAATGTGTTTAGGGATGGAGCGGATTCATTTCGTTAGGCTTCTCTACTTGTATTATATCTCTTTACTTCCTAGTACATTACTATTTTATGCATTCTAAGTTCTAAGTTTAAGTGACAAACAAACAAAACTCTTTATAAACCCCCCTTATCATTCTAAGGACGATTCTAGACTCTTAGGTTGCCATAGACTAGCGCAGTCCCAGTGGTTCGACTTACCCGACCAATAGCCCTATTTTACAATGATTCGTGTTATTGCGAAGGTTGATGTATGATTGACCAACCGATCACCGACCGTTGAATGGGTTGGAGGGAGTTAATTATCCCCAATAGTTCCTGTGTTTGGAAGCCCATATTCGAGTTTTGTATCATCTTCCTTCCCTCTAACAACTAACCCCTAGATAACCTAAAACTTGTATATCCAAAATAAACTACATGGGGAGCTGAAGACTCTCATTGCTTTGTCGAGGTTCTCTGGGTTGCAAAGGGTTTTCGCTTCTGTCGAGAGTTGTGTGATTGTTTTGGTTTTGTCCTTGCTTTAATCTTTACCGTGGTGGTTGTTTTCTCTTGTTGTCGCTGATCTGATCATCTGGTCTTTGGTGGACAAGTGGATCATTTTTTGTGGGTTTTCTGTCAATTTTGGGTCGCTTATTGGAAGGATCTTGGTGTGTGTTCTTGTTGTGGTTTCGTTCTTTGGTGGGGTGGCTTGTGTTTGTGTTTCTGACTTTAGATCTATTATGTCTACTGGTTGTGGATACTCTTGGTATCGTCTCGTTGTTGTGACGGTCACTCTTTTTATTAGGATCTGGTGAAGTGTTATGCCGTTAATGCATTTTCTGTTCTATATCCCTCTAGGTCTTATTTTGTTGCTTATCTATTGGCTGATTCAATTAGTTGGGGTTTTGATTCGAGTGGTAGGGGGTATGGGCAGAGGTCTGGTCTGTGATAAGTTTCTTCATCTATTGAGGTGTGTTCGAATATGGGAGGACCAGATCTTTGATTTGTTAACTAGGAGTAATGGATTGTGGTGTTGCTCCTTTCTGTAGGGATTGATAAGTTCACTAATTTGGGATATACATTTGGGGTTGTTGTTGCTGCGAGTTTACTGTAGTGGTTTTCTCCTTAAACCACCCATGGCTTGGATGGTTCGTTTCCTATGGCCGGTGGCATCCTTTCCAGACGGGAAAGGAAGGCTGTTGCCGAAGTGTGTTCGGGACGACTCATGGTGGTGTGTGGTGGGCCAAGGGTATGTGAGAAATCGAAAGTTGTTGTGGGCCACCACTTTAATCATGTCTCTGGGTCAAGTAAATTTTATTGATCGTTAGACTTATGCTTTATATCATGCGGCTATTAGAACTTGGTGTATTCTTTATAACTTTGTTGGTGATGTCATACTTGGGAATTGGTGTTGTCTCATGCCTAATTCAGTTGCCACGAATATTGTGCGGCGTCCAAATCTTTTGTCTATTTCAATGAAATATTTTACTCTAATGGCATATCCAGTAAGCCAGTTTCTTTTGGTAAGTCAGGGGCGCAAGTTGGAGACTTATACAATTATGAATCATCTCAATCTTAATCTTGTGCAACTCAACTTGCATTGTTGGTGGGTGACAGTCAGCCCAGTGCTCCTTTAAGCTTTAAGTTGTTATCATAACTATTGTTGTGACCTAGCTTAGTGTTGGGTTTGCATGGGGTTTGTTGTTTTGTTAGTATTTGTGGTTCTTCGTGATTTGTATGTGCATATGGTGTTTGCCGTGTAAGTGTCGGCAGTTCTTTTACCAGGGTAAAAATAATAATAATAATAATAAATAAATAAACTCACACATTCCTTCCCCTTCAAGGAGTCGAATCTTAGACTTAATGTTTCATGAGGCACCATGATCAAGTAACTTACTTACTTAAACTAACCCCTTGAACTTTCAATGCCCTTCTCTACGAGGTAAAAAAGTACTGTTAGGTTACAGATTCCTTCAAAGTGTTTAGTTAATGGTAGAGAGAAAAGTGACCAAAGAATCAGGGTTGTGCTTGAACTGAAAATTTTATGCGGAACTTAATTAAAATTTGCCTTAAATTGAGGTGTGAGAAACTTTTATCTAATAATCTGAATCTGAATTCTAGCGTTAATTTATTATACATTTATTATTTTCGATGATTAATATTATGAATGTGTTTATAATTTGTTAACACCAATTAATATTATAAGTGTGTTTATAATTTTTCAACCCATCTCGAAATTAACTCAGTCTCATTTCTCTAGCCTAAACTCAAGTCCAGTTTAAAAATTGAATGTGTTTGGACTTGGGCTGAGGATCTTGGGTTAAAGGTTGAATTGGGTTAGGTTTAGATTAAAAATTTTGTAACTTAAGTTGGGTCTGGGTTGGCCCCTTTACCCGACAAACCCACGCAAGTTGCAACCTGTAGATATGATTATAATATTGCACTTTTTTTTTTTACTCTTATAATATTGCACTTTACACCTAAGCATTTATGCAGGAAAGAAGGTCAAACCCTCAGTATTTGTTATTATTCTTTTTCGGAAGGCAGTGTTTGTCATTATTTGATTGCAAATTTAGTCCAAAAATAGTTAACACGGGGGAACAAAATTCAATGTTTAACCCAAGTTGGGTGATAATTGGGTAGGTTCTGGGCGAATTTTAAATGATTAATTATGTATGGATCAATAATTTTTTATGGGCTTTGTGCCCTATTAGTATAAAAATCAGATCCCATTAAATGCATTAATTACTTAAATTTTTATTTTAGTAAAACTCTATAAATATTATTTTTTTAGACAAATATATCCTTTTAAATCATCTAACATTTCTTCTTCTCTCCCCTTTTAACCTATTCATATGAAAATGTGTGGGTGTATGTGTATAGATATATATAAAAAAATAACTATTGCTGCTATGTGAATGAATTCTGAAAAAAGAAAAAAAAACTATAGTTAGGATAATCCTCTCAAGAGATGGATTGTGAAGAAAAAAAAGAGTTGGAACAAAATCCGAAAAGAAAAAATAATAATAATAATAATAAAAAGAACAAGAAAAGAATCCATATACAAGATAGATGGTAAGACTTTTAAAAAATACAAAACTAGTTACACACACACACACACGTGTATGTTTCTTTTTGTTTTTATTTTTTATTTTTACAACTATCCTTCTTTAAATGGATTTTTTTTTTTAAAACAAATAATTTATTCACCAAGATAGTTGTAAAAAGAAATATACACGTGTGTGTGTGTGTGTGTGTGTGTGTGTGTAACACACATGCACATTTCTATATGGATAGATTAAAAGAGGAGAGAAGAAGAAAGGTTAAATAATTTAAAAGGGTATATTTGTCTAAAAAAGTAATGTTTGTAGAGTTCTACTAAAATAGAAACTTAAGTAATTAATGCATTTAATGAATTTAATAAGATCTGATTCCTATACTAATAGGACAAACGACTGTAAAGTCACAGTCGTGCAAGAAGACTGTGATTAGCAAAACCTATTTTTTATCAACCTGTCAATGACAAATCACGAAAGTAGAAAGTAGTGATACTTACACCAATAAGACTGCATTAAAAAATTACTAATTAGAGATTGCATTATACAGGAAGAGTTACGTGAATTGGTACATAATGCTTTTGTTTGTTATTTATATATCGTATAAATCAGTGAGAACCTACTTCCTTATTTATTATATAAATGACCAATTAAAGTTAATAGGTCTCGTAATTCAGTACAACATTTTAACGTTGGTAGCCGAAAAGGTTAGAAGACTTCCCTTGTATGGTAGTTCTTGTAATGATGATGTCACAATCACATCACCATTTATTTCTTCTCTATTCATCAATCTATAATTTTGTATCACCCATACAACTACATTTCTTACCAAATACCAGAAAACTGAGGATACCAAAATGACCCGGGCTTGGAGTGATCCACATTGCATAGGATGTGGATAAACGGGATGGAGCCAGTTCGCGCCGTATAGGCCCAGGTCCATAAAGCCATTTCAGAAGCCCATGATGAAATGAGAGGAATCGAGTCCAGCCAAAGGAGAATAGGATAGGATCAGCTCAGTGGAGGTTGTAACTGTCTATAAATAGAAGGGATTGAGAGGGAAAAAGGGTTGAAAAATCATTGGGAGTGTAAAGTTTCTCTCTCTACAATTAGGGAAAAATTCTTTGTACTTTCAATTGGCGCCGTCTGTGGGAAGAACAAGAAGGATTGATTGATATCATTCTAGATCGGATCGATTCAACGCATTCTGCGAGGAAGACGACTACTCTGCGAAAGCTGAAACAACATTGATGATAATATGATCTGTCTTGACGAGTCAAGGCTCCGGTTGATTTCGGAAAATTGGCGTCCGATCCAAGCAGATCAGATCCGTGCTTGATCCGGCGAACTGCGCAATTGCAATCTGTTGTGATTACTGAATCCGGCCAGTAGCGGACTGAATTCAGCAAGTGTAGGTTCAGATCTGATGTGCGCGCGTTAGTAAAGCTCTGATTTGGTCAAGAAGTCCGCAATTGATGACTTTGCTCCGATCTGGAATGATGATCGGAGAGGCGAACTTGAATTCCTTGGAGAATGGCCAGCAGACAAAGCTTGACGAGCTGATGAACATGATCGATGCTTTGAGGAAAGAAAATGCAGAGCTACGAGCTAGAATGGAGCATCGTGAGGCTCTTGCAATTCCGAGGCCACCTCCTGAAGGAGAGGGAGTTTTACCGTCCGAAGCTGATCGTCAAGGTGATCCAGAAGACGTCAATCATGGTGGTCTATGTCATGATGAAGATATAATCGGTAATCTGCCTCCAAATACCGGCAGAGAATAAGATCGGGAAGGATCTGTTCGTCTAGAACCGCATCACAAATGGATTATGAGGGAGGAAGCACCAGCGTATGAACATCGGGTTGCGTCACCATGGCGGAGTGAATTTGCGGAGGATAGGTCATTCGATCCGCCATACCGACCTTCATTAGCGATAGTTGATTACAATAGCTCGGAAAGGAAATCTGCCGATCGAGGATTTTCGTCACGATTTTCAAGAGAAAACGAAGCATTGCGTTCCTCAGTAAGGACGGTCGCATCGCCTTTCACTGATGAAATTCTGAACGCGCCGAATCTGAAGAAGTTTTCCATGCCGATCTTCATTCTATTTGATGGAACAACTGATCTGATCGATCACATATACCATATTCAATTAAAAATGGCTTTGAATACTAATAATGATCCTTTGATGTGCAAGTGTTTCCCTACGAGCCTGGCTGGACCAGCTCTCAATTGGTTCAAGAATCTGGCTCAAGGCTCAATCGCCAGTTTCCAGGACTTATGCGACAAGTTCATAAGCCAGTATTACGGGAATAAGCGTCCGGCTAAGGATGTATCGAGCCTTTTTACAATGAAGCAGCATGAGGATGAGCGGCTCCAAGCTTTTCTCACCCGGTTCAACCTCGTTAAGAGCATGGTAATGGAGTGCCACCCGTCCACAGCAATCCAAGCATTTAAACTCGCAATGAATCGGGGGACGCCGTTCCACACCAGCTTGGTGGTTAATACGCCAAAGACAATAGACGAGCTGAACGAGAGAGCTGACGGTTTTGTTCGCCTTGAGGAGGAAGAAGCAGCTAATTCAAGGAAGACGTCAATTATTTCGACGGAGGAGAAGTCCAAAGCCAAAATCCGGCAAAAACAAGCTCAACCGCAACGTCACCCCTCATGGAAGGCGGAGAAGAGACCCAGGGAGGAGGAATCAGTCACTCCACTCAGAATCACTTTAGTAAGGCTATACCAGGAGAACAAAGATAAGTTTCGTCCTCCTCTGCCAATCAGGCAACCTCTTGAACAGAGAGATCAGACTAAACATTGTGCTTTCCATAGTGATTTTGGGCATCAGACTAACGAATGTAGGAACCTAAGGAGGTAGGTAGAGATGCTGATCGCAAAGGGGGAGTTTGCAAGCTATGTCCAGGGTCCGGCGCAAGAGCATAATCGCCCGACTGAGCAAATCAAGCAGAACCAGAGGCCAAACCAACACAACTCCCAACCCGTCAGGATTATAAACGCAATTCATGGCCGGCCTGAGCAAACGACGGAGTCAGAGGAGTTGCTCAGGACGAGGTTACGCCAGGCCCAGCTGAAAAGAAGAATTGGCAGTGTGCATGCTTTACACCAGCAGAACGCGTCCACATCGATAAAGTTTGATAAAACGGACCTGCTACGCGTTCAGATTCCTCATGAAGATCCACTAGTCGTCAGTCTGACGATTGCAGAATACCTGGTTCGGCGAGTCCTGATTGATCCAGGAAGTAGTGCGAATGTCATACCCAGGGTGACGTTCGACCGACTGGAGATCGCACCCGAAAAACTCAAACCCATAGGGAATCCGCTGCTCGGATTTGATGGTAAGCGAGTGGAACCCATTGGAATAGTAGAATTGACAGTACAAGCCGCTGAGCGAGTTCTAACTGAAAGTTTCGTGGTAGTGGAAATTTATCCATCATACAACCTCTTGATGGGCAGAGGATGGATTCACAGAATTCAGGGCGTTCCGTCAACCTTACATCAAGTGATGCGATGTTTAGGTCCGGATGGGACCAAGGTGATAGATATACATGGGGACCAGGTTGAGGCTAAAGAATGTTATTCAGTAACTTTAAAATCTACTGGAAAAGGGAAAAATCCCATCCGTTCTGCCATTCCAAAATAGCAATTACAGAATCCTTCTCCCAGCAGGGATGGGGGGGAGGAGCCGCCAGTTCTGACCACAGAACCCCTTCATGAAGCAGAGATTGATCGTGGAAAACCAAACCGAACAACAAGGGTGGGCACCAAACTCACTGAGGAAGAGAGACTAGAGTTGACTAATTTCCTGATTCGAAATGCGGATGTATTCGCATGGAGCCATTCAGATATGCAGGGATAAATCCTGCTGTATCCTGCCATTCCCTCAATGTGGATTCGAATGCAAAGCCAGTAAAGCAGAAGCAGAGAAGATTTGCTCCAGAACGAAACCAGATTATAGCTGAGGAGGTTGATCGGCTGCTTGAAGCTGGATTCATTAGAGAAGTTCAGTACCCGACCTGGCTCTCTAACGTTGTTATAGTGCAGAAGAAGAATGGAAAATGGAGAGTGTGCATCGACTTCACCAACCTAAACAAAGCCTACCCAAAGGATAGTTTCCCATTGCCCAGGATTGATCAAATGGTAGATGCCACCACAGGATATGAGCAGTTAACTTTCTTGGATGCTTATTCCAGTTATAACCAAATTCCTATGGATCCAGTTAATGAAGAGAAGACTTCATTTATTACTGAACGAGGGACTTATTGCTATAAAGTCATGCCATTCGGATTGAAAAACGCTGGAGCCAATTATCAAAGGCTGATCAGCAAGATTTTTAAAGGCCAGATGGGCAGTACTGTCGAGGCTTACATTGATGATATGGTGGTCAAGAGTAAGAAGAAGAGCAATCATTTAATGCACCTGCAAGATGTGTTTGATGTGTTGCGCCAGTATGGGATGAAGCTTAATCCGGCCAACTGCTCATTCGGTGTAAGCTCCGGTCAATTCCTGGGACATGTGGTCAATCATAGAGGAATTGAGGTCAGCCCAGCACAGGCAGAAGCCTTAATCAGGAATGCAGAGCCAAAGACAATTAAAGAGGTGCAGGCACTCACAGGCAGGATAGCCGCACTTAGCCGATTTATTTCCAAGCTTTCGGACCGCTATAAACCTTTCTTTGATACAATACGAGGGCATGGAAGGCAAACCTGGGGGGATGAACAACGACAGGCACTAACCAGCCTGAAGGAGTACATGCGCAATCCCCCGGTTCTGTCTGCTCCAGAACCGAATGAGAGACTTTCTCTATATCTCGGGGTGTCCAGCATAGCAACCAGTGCCGTTCTGATCCGTTGCAAAGAGGGCAAGCAGTTCCCGGTGTTTTATGTTAGCAAGACAATGTCTGAACCAGAGAGAAGATACTCTAAAGCCGAACGAATGATCTTGTCGCTGGTCAACGCAAAAAGGAAGCTTAGACACTATTTTGAATCTCACCCAATTGTCGTTTTAACAACTTTCCCTTTGAGAATGATCCTGCACAAACCAGACCTGTCGGGGAGAATGACCAAGTGGGCCATTGAATTGAGTTCATTTGATATCACATACGAGGCCAGGACGGCAATCAAAGGTCAAGCGGTGGCGGATTTCCTACTTGACTGTGATGATGAAGAAACGGTGGAGGATTGTAATTATTCTTGGTGGAAGCTTTTCGTGGACAGCTCCTCGAATCAAATGGGGGCCGGGATTGGAATTCAATTGCAAACACCAGAAAGAACTACGCTGAGCCAAGCGATAAGACTAGAATTCAGCGCGACCAACAATGAGGCAGAATACGAGGCGCTGATAGCCGGGTTGAAGTTGGCTAAGGAATTGAAGATCAAGAATCTGATGGCTTATAGTGACTCGCAACTAGTCATTCGACAAGTCAATGGGGACTATGGAGCCAAGGATGAGACTATGGAAGCATACCGAACTGTGGTTCTGCGTGAGGCGAAAACCTTTGATCAGATCAGGTTTATCCAGTTGCCGAGAGAGTATAACGAAGATGCCGATCGCTTGGCTTGTAGCGCATCCAGTTCTGGAGATACTTTAGCTAGGGTCATCCCGGTCGACATACTGATCCAACCTTCCATTTTTGAAGAACTGCCCAATCCGAGCACTCAACATGTTAATGTTATACCATATGAGCCGAGCTGGATTGATCCAATCATGGCTTACATACGTAGTGGCACACTCCCCGAGCGTAAGGACGAGGCAAGAAGAATTAGGTCCAGTGCAGCCAAGTATACCATTGTGCATGATCAGTTATATAGACGCTCCTTCTCGGGTCCATATTTGAAGTGTGCTACCCCTACAGAAGCTAGACAGATTATGCGAACCATTCATGAGGGAGTGTGCGGAAATCACTCCGGAGGAAGATCTTTAGCCCACAAAGCAATGACACAGGGGTACTTCTGGCCAAACATGGCACGAGATGCAAAAGAATTCTCTAGAAGGTGCGATAAATGCCAGAGGTTCGGATCATTGATACATCAACCACCTGAAGACCTGCACGTAATGGCCACCCTATGGCCTTTCGCACAGTGGGGGATGGACGTGGTTGACCCTTTGCCGACTGCAAGATCACAGAATAAGTACGTTCTGCTGGCTACTGATTACTTCACCAAATGGGTAGAAGCAGAGCCGTACCCTAGTGTCACCCAAACTCAAGTAAGACGCTTCATCTGGAATAATATTATCTGTCGTTTTGGCATACCAAGGTCAATCGTGATGGACAATGGAACCAACCTCGATAACAAGCAAGTGAGAGAACTGCTGGAGGAATATGGAATCAATCAGAAGTTAGCAGCAGTCAGTCATCCTCAGGCTAATGGTCAAGCTGAAATCACAAACAGGACAATATTTGCTTGTATCAAGAAAAAACTGGAGGATGAAAAAGGCAAATGGTTAGATGAGCTACCGAACGTCTTGTGGGCTTACAGAACAACCCCAAGACGGCCAACTGGTGAGAGCCCATTCGCTATGGCCTATGGCACCGAGGCGGTGATACCGGTCGAGCATTTGGTTCCAACTGTAAGGAGCTTGGCATGGGATCAGGAGCAAAATGATAGAATGCTGAGGTTCAATCTTGATTTATTGGAAGAAAAAAGGGATGCGACTGCAGTGAGGCTCGCCTCTTGTCAACAGACGCTCGTGAATAGCCATAACAAGAAGGTGAGGCACAGGGGTTTCGCTCCTGGCGATCTGGTTCTGAAAAGGAAGGTGGGAATAGTCAAAAAGATGTTCTCCCCATAGGAAGATCCGTACAGAATAGCAGAAGTCATTGGGAAAGGGGCATACGTCCTAGAAACTATGACAGGAAGGCTAGTCAATAAGCCATGGAATGCTATGTCTCTGAAAAAGTACTACCAGTAAAAGTAGAGTTTAATTTCAAGCATATTGTACGTTCTGAATTGCATGCTTGAAAGTGTACGAAATTTCCATGCTCTATAAAAAGCCTCTTCTTTGTTAAAAATCTACACCCTTCCCATTCAGCGAGTTAGTGTCAGCTGGCACTTAAAGCCGAACGCCAAACACTTGCTCAGAAAATGAAAAAGCCAAGTGGCAAGAGGCGTTCAGGCCGAGCGCCAGGCTTTCAGCAAGTTAGTGGCAGCTGGCATTTAAAGCCGAATGCAAAACACTTGCTCAGAAAATGAAAAAGCCAAGTGGCAAGAGGCGTTCAGGCCGAGCGCCAGGCTTTCAGCAAGTTAGTGGCAGCTGGCACTTAAAGCCGAACGCCAAACACTTGCTCAGAAAATGAAAAAGCCAAGTGGCAAGAGGCGTTCAGGCCGAGCGCCAGGCTTTCAGCAAGTTAGTGGCAGCTGGCACTTAAAGCCGAACGCCAAACACTTGCTCAGAAAATGAAAAAGCCAAATGGCAAGAGGCGTTCAGGCCGATCGCCAGGCTTTCAGCAAGTTAGTGGCAGCTGGCACTTAAAGCCGAACGCCAAACACTTGCTCAGAAAATGAAAAACAACACTGCAAAGCTGAAAATAGAAAACTCAATGGAGGAAAGTGATATTGAGCAAAGATATTATCATTCATAGCCAAAAAGGCCCCAAGGTACATAGTACCATACAAGCAGATTCAAAAAAAAAAAAAAAAAATGTTATTGGCTCTCAATTCTGATATTCTCCAGACTGTGGCTTGTCGTTCTCGCCACCATCTCCCTCTGGACCATCGAGATCTCCATCTGCCCTATCATCCTTAGAAGGGGAGTCGAGATGAATCACCCCCTCAGCAGGCATAGGTCTTTCGGCAGCGACGGAGGAAGATGGCACGATGGTAGAAAGGGGAAGAATGTTTAGAGGGTGAAA